AGCATGGTCGTAGGCCCTGTTAGCCTCGTACGCAGCAATGCATCGCCGTGTATCAATCGATCCACATGACGCGCGTGCACCCATCTGTTCAGCGCTGCATGCATTCAGATGGAGGAGCCCGGCAGTCCAAAGGCATGCAACCATTCGGCGAGACTATAGATGAAGGCATATTAGTACAGATGGCAGGATGGTACAACAGGACTGGAAGATCCAATGTATACAGAACATGCACGGCTTTGAAATAGCAACCGCGGTGACAAGCCTGTATTGCAAACTGAGTTCCAGCACTGGGAAAATAACAGGTTGGTACAACAGAACTGGGGAGTAAGTCAAGTGCAGGCTTTGCACATGAGAGCGCGGTGCAGGCTTGGCACATGAGCGCGTGGTGCAGGCTTGGCACGCGAGTGCACAGTCCAGCGTTGGCTTGGCACATAAAGGATGGGTCTAGAGAGCTTCTTACAAATATTCGAGGTGAATACGGCGGGGATTGAAGTCGCAGACTACGGGGCCGCTGAGGGAATTGGATGAGAGATTTCTGTGCATTGTGCATTGTGGGTTGGAAAATATGAAGAGATGAGAATAGCGAGCATAGCGGCCCAAGAAGGCATGCTGAGTCGAGATTCCAAGAGGTTCAACCCTACCCGTGTTTGTGGCGTTGGGGCGGAAGAAGTGAGGATATGAGAATAGCGGGCATGGGAGAAGAGGGACAGCAAGCACACATGGTTGACGCAATTGGGGGATGATGAGATGGGCATGGTGGGAGGCAGGAAGGAGTAAAAACTGAAGTTACTGAATTGCTGTTCGGTTTGAAGCAAGCAGGTTCATGTTTAATTTAGTTGGCCGAACTGGTTTGAGTTGCAGACCCGGTTCGGCAAGTTTGTGGTTCTCGTCTAACCTAGGCTTGGGAGGGGGAGAGGCAGGAAGAGGAGCTATGGGGGGGATTCAGCCTGGCTTGGCTGCCAGTTACGAGGCCATACACGTGTTGACATAACCCGAAACTCCTTGCGTTTTGTTTTCTTGAGTGCGTCGATTATCTAGGTTATGCAACTGTGAATTTCTCAAGAGACTCAACAGGTGATGAGATATTTGCTCATGTTTGTGCTTCTCATCAGAATTAAACGAGCTGCTTCATACAAATAAGTAAGCTGATAAAGCATGGTGATGCTGCTGGGAATGGGGCCTGTCAAGTTGTTGCTTGCAAAAGTCCTGTATGTGTGTGGTGTGGGTTGGGGCGGAAGGAGTGAGGAGATGAGAATAGGGGGCATGGACTGAGGGATAGCAAGCACACATGGTCGAACCAATTGGAGGATGAGACGAGCGTGGGGGGAGGCAGGCATGAATAACAACCGAATCGCATCACGTTTCATGTTGGACCCGTCTAGGGATGAGCAAGGGGCGAACACGAACGTGTTCGCGTTCGCCCATGCACGAACACCCCTGTTCGGCGAACCGAACACTGTTCGGTTCGGCGAACACCTTAAGCAAAAACAGGTGTTCGCCGTTCGCCTATGAAGGCGTGTTCGGGCGAACCTCGAACACGTTCGTGTTCGTCTAGGGGCAAATTGAAGCAGCGGCCCGAACACGAACGTGTTCGGGCGAACCTCGAACACTGTTCGGCGAACACTTGTTCGAGGCGAACCGGACAGGTGTTCGTTTTTTTGCTCATCCCTAGACCCGTCAGGTTGATCTTGTTATGTCTACCATGGGCCATTTTTCATAAGTAGGACGAGACGAGGCACCTGATGTGAGAAGTGTTGATGATGCACCAAGCGATGCTAGGTCCAACGGGACCAATTCCTTGGACCATGGTAGCAGTGATAGTGGTTACGAGTCCCATGAACGATTGGAGGGTCACTATTGAATCGCCCCACATATAATTTGGTTTCTGCTGACAGCATATTTAGATGTGACGTGGGATATTTTGCTTCCTGTATCGAAAAAGGGTTCTTTACAATGTACCATAGAAATACGGTTTTCCCCTCAACACTACTATACAGCATTATCAGAATTAAGCACCTGTTTTTCCAATCGTTTCTTTCTACCTTGCCTGCTGGCCATCTGGCTATTTCTTCCAGTCATCTAGAAAAGGCATGTGGATGCCAAATCGTGAACTTCGGTCTTGACGCGACTTCCCGACTCGTCATAGTCTAAAATTTGTACCCCATCCCCCCTGATAGGCATGAGCAGGGCACCGAACCACGGTTTGGTTCAGTGCCATTCAGTTCGGATTTTTCCCGATTGAACCGCATTTTGGGGCTTCCAATTTGGTGGTACAGCTAATTCGTGAATAACACTGCCATACCGAACCGAACGGGGTCGTGCGGGTTCAAATATAATCCAAACAAACAGAGTGTTGGAGCTCGATTCGAGTTCCTACTCTCTCATGGTCTCACAATCTTCCGCTTCCGCCTACCATCAGCGTTTCCCATGGAAATGTTTTTAGGTTTTAGATGGAAGGATCACAGTAAAAGTTCACTGTCAAAACGAACCGGCCCGGTTCGGTACCGAACTGGCCACGAGCCGGATACGAGGCGGCCACGCAAGTCGGATGGCTGCCATTGGCTTGTGTGCCGGTGGTAAACGAGCCGATCAGGCTCAACGAGCCAGGGGGTCTTGTCAACGACCAGAGTGATGCAAGCTTCAAACGTCATTTCCACCTGCTGGAAATCATCAAGTACTTACCATACTAATACTTTTGGTATGGCCACTTCCTATGCATTAGGTGGTGGTGCAAAAACCCAAACCTTTAGGAATTTTGGGGGGATGACTAGGCGTGAATGTGATTCCTTTGCAAATCACAATACTCCATATTAACTGACTGGATTTTATCAACATTAAGATAGGCAGGTCCGTCCATCAACATGCCAGCGCCAACCCCATTACCTAGGCAGGTCCGTCCAGGGATGGATCGAAAGGACTTAGGGGTTATTTGATGTCGCTGTCCACAAGTCTATAAAACTCATGGCCACCCTATCAGATGACGATCCTGTCAGGCTGAAGATGAGCCTCCCCGGCTCGTCGCCTATCGGACGAGCCACAATCTGACCTAGCCATAGTCCTGCATCGTGGCGAACCGGCCAATGGCCGGCCAGTTTTAGACAGTGGTCGGGGCCAGCTCGTAACGAGGCGGGCAGTGGCCGGCCATCGCTCATGTCTACCCGAAGGAGCCGGCCCGGCCCGGCCCGTCCCGTCCCGGCCAGAAAGCAGGCAGGTCCAGGCTAGCCTGTGGCCCTAATCTTGCTCATCCCTAGCCATTCACTTTCCAAATACCCTATCCTTGTTTTCTTGCGTGTGACATCTAGGTAACGTAACTTTGGGTTTTAGAGTTCATGCTTTTTTTTTATCATGTACGTGCTATCACCAGGTATAAACAAGATGCTTCATACAGAAATGAGAGCAGAGTAAGCTTGGAGATGCCATCGGGAATGGAGCCTGTCCAACTGTTGTTTGAAAGAGACCTGTGTGTGTGTGGTGTGGGTTTGGGTAGAAGATGTGAGGAGATGAGATTAGAGGGCATGGACTGAGGGACAGCAAGCACACACGGTCGAGCCAATTTGGGGATAAGAAGAGCTTGTGGGAGGCAGCCATGAAAAAAAATCAATTGCAGTTCGGTTTGAGGCAAACAGTTCCTGTTGACTCCAATTGGCCAAACTGGTTCGAGTCGCACACCCGGTTCGACGAGTTTGTGGTTCTCGTTGAACCTGGGCCTGGGAGGAAGAGAGTCGGAAAGAGGAGTTGCAGAGTATTCAGCCTGTATTGACTGCCAACTGCGTGGCCATATACGTTTGAATTGCCCAAAACTCCTTGCTATAAGACTTTGAGGCTTTCTTGTTTTCATGTGACATCTAGGCTAATACAGGTTCATGCTTATCACGGGGCTTGAACGAGGTGCTTCATACAGATAATCGAGCAGAGAAAGCTTGGAGATGCTGTTGGGAATGGAGCCCGTCAAGTTGTTGTGTGAAAGAGACCTGTGCGTGCGTTGTGTGGGTTGGGGCGGAAGAAGTGAGGAGGCATAGAGGGGCATGGAATGAGAATAGTGGGCATGGACGGAGGGGATGAGAATGGGGGGCATGGATGGTGGGGATGAGAATAGGGGGCATGGATGGAGGGGATGAGAATAGGGGGCATGGATGGAGGGGATGAGAATTGGGGGCATTGATGGAGGGGATGAGAATTGGGGGCATGGATGGAGGGGATGAGAATAGGGGGCATGGATGGAGGGGATGAGAATAGGGGGCATGGATGGAGGGGATGAGAATAGGGGGCATGGATGGAGGGGATGAGAATAGGGGGCATGGATGGAGGGGATGAGAATAGGGGGCATGGATGGAGGGGATGAGAATAGGGGGCATGGATGGAGGGGATGAGAATAGGGGGCATGGATGGAGGGGATGAGAATAGGGGGCATGGATGGAGGGGATGAGAATAGGGGGCATGGATGGAGGGGATGAGAATAGGGGGCATGGATGGAGGGGATGAGAATAGGGGGCATGGATGGAGGGGATGAGAATAGGGGGCATGGATGGAGGGGATGAGAATAGGGGGCATGGATGGAGGGGATGAGAATAGGGGGCATGGATGGAGGGGATGAGAATAGGGGGCATGGATGGAGGGGATGAGAATAGGGGGCATGGATGGAGGGGATGAGAATAGGGGGCATGGATGGAGGGGATGAGAATAGGGGGCATGGATGAGATCCTACAATACGTTTTTGCTCGAATGAAATTTCAAGTCATTCCTGACTCGCATGCGGGTCACCTAACCTGCCTCGAGTCACACCCGACTCGCGCTGTTTTTCCGAGTCACAAGTCGGGCTGAGTTAACTTTTCAGCTCGACCTTGACTCAGCTCGGGTAATGACTGGCTTGACTAAACTCGAGCACATGCTCATGACTATCTAGAGTTGACTGTAGTTTAATATTTATGACTTAGGAAAACCCGTGTAGATTGTGGTTATATCATACAACCATCACAAAATATATTGTGCGAGATTCTTACAAAGAAAGTTAGTCTTCTGAGAGACGCGATGCTGTCGGGAATGGAGCCATTCAATGCGTTCTTTCTGACAGATCTGCGTGGAGTGGGGTGAGTCATCGGGAGTGAAGAGATGAGAAAAGTGGGCTGAAGACAATTGACAGGTGGCACCTAACAGAGGTTTCACCTGAAGCCAACAAGCACCACCTCACCATCCTGTAGCTCAGCCATTTGTGAGGACCAAACCAGCGTCGATGGGTGGTGGGGGGGGGGGGGGGGGAGGGGGAGGGGGGGGGGAGAAGGGGGGGGGGGGAGAGGAAATGCCCTAGCACCGTTTTTTCCTCCAACACACAGGAAGGGCAGTGGAAGGTGGGATATGCAAAAGCTTTTTTGCTTGCTCTGTAAAACTATGGCAAAGGCGAAAGCTTAAGAGTATTCTCACAACAACAACTCTATCCTAGCAGCCAGCCAGCTCGAAGCAGCTTACAGTTTGGTCAGATTGGTGAGCTTTCCAATTGCAGCTGGAATAGATCCGGTGAGTTGATTCTCCGTCAAATTGCTGGCCACAGGGGAAGGAAACCGGACAAAAATACTGCCCAAATCATTGACAACTCTCTCCAATGCAATTGGGCATGAACACTGCTTTGTTGATCTCGTGAGGAACATTAACGAAATGGCTGCAAGAGAAAATTGAGCCAATTTTTAGTCCCCCACAACAGGAAATTCGGGAGTGGCAACACCATGACCATGCATATTGTAGTGGTTGGATAGATGGAATCTGTGAGCACATAGATTAGTGATGTTGAAACTACAGTGTTTAACTTGTCCGAGGGCTGTTGCATGCAGGCTTTGAATCTTGGGCGAAAAGAGCAAAAAGAACACAGGGATGATGGGTGGAGACAGCTTAGTGCACTGAACACTTCTCATACAAATGCAACACACTTCTCTTCCTAAAAATCCACAATTGCGACACCAGCAAATCTCACACTGCTTACAAGTGCTCCAATGAAATGAGGCTTGAAATGCCAGCCGGGATCGACCCTTTGAGATTACAACGTGACATGGCTCTGGGGACGGGGTTGTATAAAACAGTGAAGAAGGCGATGTTAATTCTGTGGACATGGAGTTAGGACTGAGCAAACTGGCGAATACCTGTTTGGTTCGTTCGAGACGAGCTGGACAGGTGATTTTTTTTTTTCGCCAACAAAATGTTCGTGGCAAACACGTTCATGTTCACCCGAACATGTTCGTGCTCGGTTCGTCGCGGCTAGCCGAGCCGCAAAGAACACGAACATTAACCTTTACACGCAAAGCTCCCGCGACACTTTCTCAGGTCGACACTGGACGCTAGCTGACCTATTTGTTTAGCTCGTTTTTAGCTAACGCACCCCCCACAGCCTAGTCTTGAAGCACCTGCAGCATTGCTACCTTCAACACTACTTACATAGGTTGGTGCAAACGACTTCCTATAGTCCACTAGTTTTGGGTAGTCGACATTAGAGTTTTGGGTGTTTAGAAGGAGAAACCAGCACTGGCCCTTAAGTTAGACGCTTCCCTGGCACCGCATATACCATAAACAAAAGCACAAATCTAGATTTCTCAGCCAAGTTCACGGCCGTAGGCGGGTTTAGCACTCGGGTCAATTGATCGAACCACCGTATAAGGGTTTAGGAGTTTATGGGAATGCGTAGCTTACCACCAGCAGGAGGGGGGAGTTGGGTGGTAACGGCGGAGCTCCCTCGACCCCTACACGACCTCTCTGTGGTTGTGTTGGGGACCGACCCGCCACAACCGGGGCGTGTTATGTGGGTGGGTTCTTAGCCATGCCCACGACTGGTTCCGCGCACATGTTGAGGTACAGTGGATCGAGGCCCACTGCTGGGGGTCACACGACTACCACTTGGTTCATTGAGATGCATGGTTTATACTCGATTACGTTTACACAATCCCCTGAACATGAGTCATTCTATGCCGTTATGTTCCTGCCCTCCCAAACGCCCCACACGTTGAACCCCACCACCAGGCACGCAGCGAAACCGAAAATAGTACAGAGTGATTATAACGAGGGCTTCTTCTGGTTAGGCGAGCACGAACATGATCGCCCTAAGTGTTCGGCCCTAAAGGCGAACAGGCGAACACAGGGTGAGAGTGCAGGGCAAACGAGGGAGGACATTCATATGGGAGAGGAAATCAGAAATACACAGGAGAATTCATAAGCTAGAGAAAAAGGTTGTAAAGTATTGGCGCCACCACGTGTGATTGCATACCAATGACCTTTTGTAAGATGTGACAATCAGCTTTTACATGTGATTGTTGTGTTGCATTTCTGTTGTTGTCGTTGGCCATCAAACTTCTGTAGCCGTATTGCTATAAGCTTCCGTCATGGGCTAACTGACTCCGCTGAATACCTACTAGCACCGAAAGAAAGCACAAAAGAATGGGCACAAGAAAAAACAAAACAAAACAATACAAAACAAAACAAAACAAAACAGCTCACTGTTTCACTGTAAGGTAATTACAGTCTTCTTAGTGAGGTGAGAGAGGAAATGCTGTCGGGGATAGACCCATCAAGAGTTATATCCGACAAATATCTATGTGAGGTGGGGTGGGTGGGTGGGTGGGTTGAAAGAAGGGAGGAGTTAAGGAAAATGGATGGAGACTGACTGTAACGCCTGTGGGGCTTACATGTTGAGTACCTCCGCTGCGCCTCAAACATAACCCTCGTTTTGAACCAGTAGCGAGGCGTTATACTGGTACTAGAGCCTAGGGTTCAATTCTTGGCTGGTCACATTTTCCCGCTAGTAGCGAGAACTTGAATGTGGTAGCCCAGTTGCGAACCCAACGAAAGGTCCTCCACTAGCCTGCTCCACCAGTGAAGTCGTTGTGGTGCCCAGCTAAGTTGACGACCTTGCAAGGGCTGACTCCCTTCAGTTCTGAACCAACGAGGACGTTGGCACCAGAGGGAGGCGAGTGTAATGCCTGTGAAGATTACACGTGAGGGTTGGGTGCCTCCGCTGCGCCACAAATGCAACCCTTGTTTTGACCCAGTGAGTAGCGAGGCGTACGGACTGACACAACAACAGGGAATAACTGGTGCAAATCCCGCTGCAGGCAGCAAGCATCAATCAAAAGCGAGTCTGCAAACACAAGCAGACTGTGTGAGGTTCGGTCTATGAAAATCTATGGAACACTTACATATTGGTGATCATGCCTGAAGCGTCGCAGTTGACCCTATCGATCGTGCCACAGGTAGCACACATGGCCCAGCCTGGGAATGTCTTTCCCCATGCCCTCTGGCAGTCCTCGAGAAACGCCGCTGGCAGTTGGGGAACGGGAGAGGAGAGAGGAGAGAGTGAGAGAGAGCTTGACCCCAACATTGCCACAGGTAGCACCCCTGGCCCAGCGTGGGAGCGTCTCCCCCCACGCCTTCTGGCAGTCCTCGAGAAACGCCGCTGGCAGTTGGGGGAAAAGAGAGGAGAGAGAGAGGGGGGGTTTAAGGTTTAGAGTAGCAGGAAAGAAGCAAGCCCTCTGCCCAGCCCTCTGCCCTAGTACTTAAGGCTCTGCCGTGCAAAGTTCATAATTCTCACTTGTGTTCCTGTTTCCACAACCAAGGTAGCGGGAGAGAAGCAAGCCCTCTGCCCAGCCCTCTTCCCTCTGCCCTAGTACTTAAGGCTCTGCCTATCCAGCGCAGAATTAATATTTCTCATTTGTGTTCCTGTCTCCCCAACCAAGGTAGCGGCTCGCTCCAGCCGGCGGCCTCGAGGGCACGGCCTAGGGGACGTTAGGGAATGGTAAGTTCATATGCGGACAGTATGCAAAGTGGCATTTCAACCAAGTGGGCACAAACAGCTTCGACTAAGGACGTCTAGGACAACCAACATGGCATCTTCAGTCCCAACAGCGCTCTGCTACCGCTCGTTGCTCATGTCTAGCTACCGCCGCCGCATACTTACGCCCTACAACAACCTCGACACCCATCGTGCACGCCGACGCGGGCACAACATCCATCGCTGCCGCCGCATTCTCCATCATCGCGGCCACAACGGCGACAAACGAGCAATGATGCCACAAACGCATAACGACGTGGCTTTTCCACCTCAAGCATCCGTGGAACCTCAAGATTGCGGCGGGCTAGCCAATCCACAACCACTTTTGGACCCACACGAATTCCCCCGGAACACCGGCGAGCAGACTCCCGCCGTTGAGGAGACCCTGCTGACGCCCCTCCCCCCGCTGCCATCGCCGCTCCTGCTCCCCCTCCGCTGCTTGGGGAGTACGCGCCAGGGGAGGCACATGAGGTGGCACGGCCTCCCAAGGACAGGAACCTCGGGCCGCAAGCAGCCCCCCGCCTCCACCAGCGGCCAAAACACTGGGGGCCCCCCACCTGGGAGCACGCGTTTGGCAGAAGCCGCAACACCATCGGCGTCTCTGACTGCTGCTGAACAAGGATCACGGGAAGCTGCTGGGATTGAGACGCACTTTCAGCCAGGGGACCAGCCAGGGACGGCCAGGCGCGGCAGTCTGAGGAGGAGCAGCTCCCACCCACGGGCGGATTCGGCAGAAGACTCGGCAGAAGCTCCCACCCACGGGCGGATTCGTCAAGGGAATATTGCAACACCCCGCCGAGCCGCATCTCGATCCAGATCAAATAAGGAGGTGAGAGAACCCTTACCTGATTTCGCCACATCGGCAAACCCACATCCCAGCTTAGGTAGGTCGCGCGTTACACTCCTCCCCCCTCAGGTGGCAACGTCCTCGTTGCCTTGAGGTGCTTCTGAGGACGAGCGCTTCGAGCACGCCGTATCACATTACGACCAGGGTCAACACCATCCACTGGCTGTGCGGCAGCTCGTCGGGCCAGATCTGCCATGTATGACTGAACTGCAGTTTCAGTCAGATGCTCTTCTGGTTCCCATGAGTTGTGTTCAGGCCCATAGCCTTTCCACTTGATGAGGAACTCTCGTACTGTCTTGCGGCCGCGCTGTCGATCACGATGCATCAGCACTCGTTCGACTTCATAAAATAGTTCCTCCCCCAGGACGATCGTTGGTGGCGGCAAGTACTTGCCCTCTGCAACGTACTTGTTCAACAGAGACACATGGAAGACGTTGTGAATCTGCAATGTATCAGGCAGCTTAAGCTTGTAAGCTACCACACCAACACGCTTGATCACCTCGAAAGGCCCAATCCATCGAGGGAACAACTTTCGTGCTCCAGGGATTTTGAGACGAATGTTCTTCGTGCTCAACAAAACTTTGTCTCCGACCTCAAATGAGACTTCCCGGCGTTTCATGTCAGCGTAAGACTTTTGTCGCTGCTGAGAGAGTTGCAGCCAATGGCGAGCAGACTTAAGCGCTTCTTGCTGCTTGCCAACAAAGTCTTTTGCGGCTGGAATTTTCAATCCGCCGATCCCATGCGTAGCAGGTGTTGTGGGATGCCGACCATAGTTCAGAATGAAAGGTTTCTCACGTGTACCTTCGTGAACTGAATTGTTCACTGCGAATTCAACGACAGGCAACAACTCGTCCCAATCATCCTGAGTTGGGCCAATGAATGAACGAAGCATCTGCTCAAGTGTCCGGTTTGTTCGTTCCGTCTGCCCATCGGTTTGTGGATGGAACGCCGATGACATCTTAAGCTTCGTTCCTAGTGTCCGTGTGACTTCTTGCCAGAACCGGCTTGTGAAGCGCGGATCCCGGTCGGACACCAATACACGTGGTAACCCGTGTAAGCGGAAAACGTGCGCCACAAACAATTTGGCCGTATCTTCCGCAGATACGTCAGTTGTCGTAGCCACGAAATGTACCATTTTTGTCAGACGATCCACAAACACTAGGATCGCTGTATGGCCATCGCGAGTCTTGGGAAGATCCGTGATAAAATCCAAGGATACGCTCTCCCAAGGTTCATTCGGGATCTCGAGTGGTTGAAGCAAACCACCAGGCTTCTTTGTGTCCGTTTTATTTCGTGCGCATGCGTCGCAGCGCGCCACAAATTGCTGGACCTCAGTGCCCAATCCCGGCCACCAGTACACATCACTCAAGGCCCACCTGGTCTTCTTGACCCCTAGGTGTCCTCCGTACTTAGTGGCATGCACTTCTTCCAGAATATCGTTCCGCAGGTTACCTACGTGAGGTACAACAATCTCCTTCTTACGCCACCAGAGCTCATGCTCCCACTTGAGTTCCTTCATGTTCTGTGGGTTCTGGAACCAGGAGTCAATTTGGTACCCTATGCGGATGCGTTTCAGAAAACTACTGAAGGTAATCTCACTCACTCGAGCCGTTGCTAGGACACTGAAGCAAGCAGAAAATACTGCCGCATCCTCTGTGTCGTCTAGCCGTGTTGCTGCCCCTATCGGCTGTCTGCTGAGGGGGTCAGCCAGGTTCGTCGAACCTGCACGATATCGAATATCAAAAGTGAACCCACTAAGGAGTTCCGCCCATCGGGCTTGACGTCGAGTAAGCGTGGCTTGAGTGGAGAAGTAGGTGTTTGGACAGTGATCAGTCGTAACCACAAAGTCCACACCCTCCAGATAACATCGCCATGTTCGTAGCGCATGAACGACCGCCAACAGTTCTTGTTCGGACGTCGTATAGCGCTGCTCTGCCGGGGAGAGCTTTCGACTCTCAAATGCCACTGGTCTCCCTTCTTGCAAGAGGACCGCCCCAATCCCAATCAATGAGGCGTCAGTAACCACCTCATAGGGTTTCGTCGGATCTGGTAAAACCAGTACCGGAGCGTTGGTCAGCATTCGCTTGACCTTGTCGAATGCCTTTTGGCATTGCTGTGTCCATTGCCAAGCGCTACTCTTGCGAGTGAGGGCCGTCAATGGAGCAACAATGGTAGAATAGTTCTGCAAGAATCGACGAAAATAATTCGCCAGTCCCAAAAACGACCTGATTTGACCCACATCTTGTGGCACCGGCCAGTTTTGGACTGCGACAACTTTCTTTGGGTCTACTTTGAGACCATCATTTCCCACGATATGGCCAAGATATTCCAACTCGCGTTTGTAGAAATGACACTTCCACAGACGAGCATAGAACTTATGCTCTCGAAGTTTCCCTAACACCCACTTAAGGTGTCGCGTGTGCTCCTCTTCCGTCTTGGAATAAACCAAGATGTCATCCAGATAGACTAGAACCAACTGTCCAATCGCCTCGCGAAAGACATCATTCATAGCTCTCTGAAAAGAGGCAGGAGCATTGGTCAAGCCAAAGCTCAGCACTCGCCACTGAAAATGACCAAACGGCGATCGGAAAGCCGTCTTGGGTACATCTTCTTCAGTGATGCGCAATTGGTGATACCCCTGCGCGAGGTCCAATGCGCTGAACCACTGAGCACCCTGGAGTTTGTCGAACAGGTCCTCTATTCTCGGTATGGGATACCTGTTCTTCACCGTTATCTTGTTCAGAGCACGGTAGTCTACGCACATGCGTAACCCCCCGCCCTTTTTGTTCACGAACAAGATCGGCGCTCCGTAAGGTGATGCGTTTGGTTCAATCCATCCCTTCCTGAGATACTCCTCAATTTGCTGTTTAGACTCCTCGTACTCAGCTGGACTGAGGCGATACAGAGGTCTAAAAGGTGGGAGTTTTCCAGGCTCCACTGGGATGGTGTGACCGACAGCACGGTCCGGAGGAAGGCCATCTGGGATGGGCTCAAAAACCTCCGCGAACTCGTCCGCCAGTGCTTTCATCTGAGGCGGGAAATCCTCGACCCCAGGCATCTCATGTTCAGCATTCTCAAGCTGTACCACAAAGAAGGTATCGGCTTGTCGAACATGCTGTCCGAACCCGTTTGCGAGCGCAAAACTCACATCGGGACGTTCCGACGTTTGTTGTTCGTTCGTGATTAAGTCCTTAGGCACTTGCCATTGGACTGTGTCACCATTCTTTGAGAATGAGACAGTATTGTCCTGGAAATCGAGCTTGACTTCATTCGCTCGAAGCCAATCCATTCCAAGGACAAGGTCGACGCCTGCGAGAAGGGGTAAAACATACGCGCAGATCTCTTCGTGATAACCCTCAATCTCCATGTTGATCCGTGTCTGCCCTTTGCTTGGGATGATGCTATCATCACCAAGGCGAATGGGGCAAGACGGTCCTTCAACGAGGATCGTGCGTGCTATGGCCCACTTTTCGTCAAAGAGGGAAACAGTTGCACCCGTGTCAACAAGGATTTTTGCGTTTTCCCCGTTCACGCTACCCGCAAGCAACAAATTTTGTTGATGCTTTGGGCGAATAGGACATGCCACAATACTCGTCGAATGTTTGAAGTACACCTTGACGTTGTGACGAGCGCGTCCATGTGACTGAGAATTGGTCCACCACACATGGTGTCCCTTGTCCCATGCCGCTAGGACCGGCCATCCACGAAGCGCGTGGAACAATTCGCCTTTCACTGTGCGAGTCACCAACGCGACCGAAGTCAGGGGGTGCTCTTGAGTGCAACGACTCACAATCTCAATGACAGAAGGCAGAATGTCCAAGCCACAGAAAATGATTGAAAACTTATCCTGCATTGCTTCCATGGTAATGTTCTCAAGTGGGTACGATCGAGGATAAAAAACCGAGTTTTTATTTAAAGAAGAGGCAAACAAACAAGAGATTTCGCAATCAACAAGCTTCTCTAGCTTTAATATATCATCATCACATAGCACATATGCCTCATCCACTCGATCTACTCTTCCAACTAGGTACCCACACCCTAGTTGGGCTTCTGAAAATCCTTCTTTCCAGAAGGTCCAGCGCCGTCTTGCTTAGGCTTCCCAGAATACTTGATTGGGTTCTTGTTACGGCACTGGGATGCGATGTGCCCCATCCTTCCACAGCCTCTGCACCGCTTGTCGGAGAAATCCGGCTTGTTAGGGCCATGACCTCCCCCTCCGTTAGGCCTCTTGGCCTGTGGACCAGGCTGGTGATCACGCTGCTGGAAAGGCCTTTTGTTCCAACCGCTTCCACCCTTCGCATTCTGGGACCGGTTCCCATGACCACCAGAGCCTTCAGCATGGGGCTGCTGGCCTGTCTTTTCGGGGCCAAAAATGTACGTGCGAATGATGTTGTCGGTTTTGATCACCTGCTCCTTCATCTCCTTGTAAGTCGTCCAATTGGTCATGCCGCCGGTCATGTGTGCCTCCTGCAGGTTAACAGGGAGGCCCTTCATGAAGATGTGCATCATCTCCTCCTCAGCCAAGGGCTTTTGGAGCAAGCGTGCTGCGGCCTCCAACTCGACCGCATATTTCTGCACCGAACGGTCAGGACACTTGATACTTTCAAGGCGTCCGCGTAATTCCAGGTCGGACTTCTTGACCATGAATGCCTCTTTCAGCGCGGTGCAGAACTCCAGCCACCCAAATGGTCCCTGCGCCTGCTTCTTAGCGCCATACACTGCCCTGCGGGCCACCTCGTCCAACGCACGAGTAGCTGCAGTGACGCGAGCATCGGAACGCACATTCGCAAGGATCATGGTGGAATCCACCAGGTCGAGCCAAGGCTGCACCTCTGTCTTGTTATGGTTAAACTCAGGCAGAGGCGCCAAGAGAGACCCAAAGGGCGAGGTCTCAGTTGGAGGTGGCTGATGCATAGCCGTCGCAGCGCCTACCGCCGGGGGTGCGGGCGGAGCGGGTGCCGGCTGAGCAGCAGGAGCGGGCCTACGCCCAGGAGGAGGTTCGTAAATACCCTCCCTCCTAACTTTGGTCACCTGCTCATTGAGCTTGTTGAATGATGCTTGCAGATTATTGCAAGTCTTCTGAAGCCACTCAATTTGGCGGTTTTTAGTGCCCAGGCTGCGACGGAACTCAGTAACCTCCTTCATGGTAACGCTCAGCCTAGCCTCGAGGTTCTGAGTGTGCTTCTTGAGTCCATCAATGGACGTCTGCTGCTGCAGGATGGTGATATTCTGAGTTGCCACTTTAGCTTGGAGTTGGACAATCTCCTCGGAGATAGGATAACTCATGCCTTCATTCTCAGTGAAGTCATTCTCATCACCAGTGTTCTCCTTTTCACCGGTGTTATCCTCTTCCTCATGGCTGGCAGCTTCACCATGGTTATCAGCTTCACCATGGTTCTCTGCTTCATCATGGTTCTCAGCTTCACCATGGTGATGCTCATCCCCAAGGTCCAGGTCCAAGTCCTCAATATCATCCAACTCAAGGTCAGCCATTGCCTCATCTTGATTTAGGTCAATCTCAGCAGCATTGTTCACCACCTCATTGGGTGCGGTGGGCCTTTCCTCCCTTGCCATATCCTTCTCTTGGCCAGATGCCATAAGGATTAAGGGAGATTGTAAGATCTGGGTTGATTCTGTTAAGTCTTTTTACCACCTCAATGGTAAAGCAAGAAATTCTTATAAAAGAAATTTCTTCTACATAATAATCCAAGTTACCAAAGGTAACAGATTTGTTGTCAAGCACTCCCAATCACCTAAGTGAAAGGGCAGGGTCAATCCAAATCTCAATGAAGAGAACTTGTATAACCCTCAACAAATCCTCCAGATCCAAGTTTATACTCCACTACTCAACAGTAGAGAGTCTTCCACCAAAAGGTGGGCAAGAGAGATAAATCTCTCTTCTTAGCTTGAAATTGCAGTTGTAGATCTTGTAGATCTTGAACTCTTCAAGCTTCCAGATCTTGAGTGTTCTCTTAAAGAGAAACCACAACTCCAAGATCTATAAAAAGAATCTCTAGGGACAAAATCCCCACTAGGCTTAGGATAACCCTAGCTCTAGATACCAATGTAACAACCACGGCCCTTATAACAACGGGCAACCGTGTGTTAAGTATAGATCCTCCTTGACAATTTATATAAAATCAAAGTTATAATGCTTGAAATTATTTAACTAATCCCACCAAGGGATAACCAAGCCTTAGGCTAAGCTTGAAGGATCTTGAGAGGAGAAGTTGTAGCTCTTGAAGAAACTTGAGTAGGTAGGTAACTTCTTGTAGAGTTTATCCTTAGGAAATCACAACTCTTAGTTGTGTAGGAGAGCTTGTTAGGAGAACCAAAATGACTTAGAGAAATCCCATTTCCAAGTTGGTAAGTTGGAGTTGGGAAGTGGGAATGAGCTTGAAAGCTCCAACCCCTTCCATCATACCCCTTGGGGCTCTTCCCAACCATGGCTTCCATGGTTGGGGAGCTAATAGGCTTGGAGCCTAGGTGGCATCTTTGTTTGGTTGGGAAAACCCAACTTAATTGTGTTGTATGGTTGTTTTGTGTTTGGTTGGACTGTAACAACAACTGGCACAATTTGATTGGTTTGAAATCCAACCTTCCCAATCTTCACTTTGATGGGTTGGAAGTTTCCAAGCCTCAAGGTTGAGGGTTGGGAAAACCAAACCGGCTTTCCTCTCCAACTCATCCTTCCCATCTCTCGTAGTTCAATTTCTCGTCGAAGAACTTCTCGACATTGACTACGAGAGTCTCATCAGGTGCTTAGGTAGGTCGCGCGTTACAATTGCTTTGCAACCCTTAAGCCAGGCTACGGAATCCAGTACGAGGTGACTAGGGAAGAAGGTTAGACTCACTTGGCTCTGCATGCATGGTATGTAACTTATGCTATATTAATGGAATCATTTGAGGCACAAGGATATGGATGTACATACAACCTGCGCTAGGGGGGTCACCTTGGTTGGAACGCTCCTACTATCCGTGCCTGCTATGGATAACCGATGCACGCTCGGAGCGCTTTGATGAGTCCCTCCCAACCCGCGCAACGACCGGCTTTAAACTCGCACGACTATATACGGTATTGGAATCCGGGATAGCGTCATCGCACGACCGACTTTTGTTGGGTCTGGAGAGGACCCTCGCAGGACCCGAAAAGGACCCTTTATCTGCAGTGTTTAGGACCTTTAATTTTCGTGATGAAGAGGGTCCGTACGATTACTAGAGTACTAGTAGTTAGTTGCAATGTGGCCGCACAGTGCAAATCGCGGGCTGAGAGGCTCTAACGAGGTACGAGGGGAGGTCACCGAGAAGCAACGCTGGTTTCTATTCGCATTGTGCGAGGAGAGAGGAGGCACCTTGAGTAGCGTTGATCACCACCGGTTGTCGCGCCGCGGCGTGGCATGGAGAGCCGAATGCAGCAAGCCAAAGCGCGGCGGAGAGTGCAAGCCACGCTCGCAGCTGCATCGTAATTGGCTTAGGCGGCGGCGGCATTGCGGCGTCGGCGCGGTCTGGATTGTTCAGCGTAACCCTCTAAGCATGACAGGTTTAAACCAAGGAGTGGAGAGAAACGAAACTAACTTGTAGCTGCCACTGGAAGATTGCCTACGCAGCGGCTGACTGATGAGGGCCCACGGAAGCGGGCTGACATGTGCTTGTGCCGGGAATTCTCAAAAGGACGAGCCTAGGCTCAGCCTAGGCTGGGATGGGAGCATCTGTCAGACGGACTCGCTTCGGAAGGGGGGCCGTGCAAGCACGGAACCTCTCACGAGTTTGCGTTGATCATCATCAGAACCGAACCTCAAACTCCAAACTGAGCGTGTATTTGTTGAACCCCTCTGAACAACGGGCGAACCCAGCCGTGCTATCCTGCGTGCGAATTCTAGTAACCAGACCCATGCTCCAGACTCCGAAGCAGAGTTGCTCCGGAATCCATCCCAGGGCCGTTCGACCGTTCCAGGCAGGAATTAGGGTCACGTGGAGCTTTTTTTGGGAAAATCTTCCGTATTCCGGGGTATCGTCTTGGTAGTAGTAGTGCGATGATGATGCACTTGCTTACTATATAGCAGACGCGAGGTCCCGCATTCCCTAGGTCCCCTTACGCTTAAAGAGGTGGAAAAATACCTCTTCCGAAATTCTCTTCGAAATACCCTCGCGGCTTCGAATATTTTATGAATTTACTTGAAGATGCGCCAGCCAGCCGGCCGAGCCATCGTCCCTGCCGCACACCGCATTTCTTCCATGCATGGCTGCTCCACTGTGGGAGGGTATGTTTTGCTCCTGACACATTTCCTTAGCAGGGTCTTGAAACCGGGAAAATGCGTGTCAGTCACCGCCATACCACGCAGGCTCGGGAGGCTCTCTGATGTGCAAGACAATTTTTGCCAGGGAAGGGCGCAGCATCATTTTGCCAAACGCTTAGTTCGAACCGTTTGCAACGCAGTCTGTCAATTTGAGACCTTTCGCGAAGTCGTGCAGATACATTGCGACGCAATGCGACGTAAACGAAGGTTGATGAGCTCACTGACGACTTCTGACGACCCCCTTGACCAGAATACAGTCCGAACCGTCGGGGGTACGAACCATCAAGTGGCAAAATCATGCCGCGCTCTAACAAACCTTCTTGTGAACAGATCCGCTGCTTTATATAGTCATCGACCAGGACAGATTGTAACGAATCATTAATGATGTACAATAAAATTATAGACTAATATTGAAAGGGCTGGAGATTTTTTTATTATCTTGATCTCGTATTAAAAACGAAATTACTCATGTTCTCAAATAGGTGTTCTGAAATTATGTGTTTCCAGTATATCATAAGCACTTATACTTGGTTCAAGTTTTTGTGAGAACTTACTTGGAAACAATGACGAAGTACGGTAGCCTATAATTATTATATATATAGGTCGACAGTATCGTCAAGATGTAACCACTGACGAAAAAATATTCGTGATGTTTAGGTACTTGAATTGTTAAAATGACATAGCGGAATGGATGTGGCTAGCAGCTTTGGGATACTGTGAGGAAACATTTTTCCTTACTTCGTGTCATACATCATACTGCGTACATGACTATTCCCGCCACTGTCCACGCAACGGTAGCCCATTATCACTCCCCGACACTCGCCTTGTTAATGTTCCCGCCACCACCCAAACTATCCGGCTCGGCTGGTAACTCGCGCCCCGGCCCTACACGCTGCTTTGATTATTTTTGCAGGTGGGAATAAATAATAAGATACATATGTCTGAACTTTTAAGAGTACGAATTGTTTGTCCAACAAAATTATACCGTCTGATAACGGGAACCCTGGTGCCGTCATCGTTGATGCAACAGTATGTTCTGCCCTGATATGGCACTCAAGCTCCGTATTCTGCCGTCATATGGCACTCAAGCTTCATAATCTGCCCCACTCAAGCTCCGTATTCTGCCCTGATATGGCACTGAAGCTCTGTAATTTGCCCAAATATGGCACTCAAGCTCCTGTAGCTGTAGCTCGCATAAGAGCAAAAAACTTCTTTACTGCATGAGGCAACATAAAGCACCGAAAGGGCATGGGAAGGAAACAAACGGCATTAAGATGACTGGCATGTTTGCAAAAATATGTTCGCATCTTACGATCTCTAATGGTGTGCTACACTCCTGTAGTTATACATACGATTACGTTTCTCAAATACCAATTTGAGAAAATGTACAGCCCATTTTTATTGAGTACGTTTGAGAACGGAATATGTCAACGCAGAATTCCCCTATTGGAAACAGGTTATAGAACGAGTATCTGTTTGTCATAGATCTGCTTACAAGGAGTATACACCGAAATTTCAATGTGTGTCGATGCAGTGTTGTCCTCCAAACAGAGAGAAGAAGAGGCAGGGGTGTCCATAGGGCTGATGAAATGCGGTTGTGGTTTTGGAGTGTATACAGCTTACGTTATCCCTATTCTGGGCGTGTCTATAACGTGTATAACTGGTAATATACCTTGCAGAATGTCGATGCAGAGTGTACCTTACAGAGTGAGTGTATGTCCAAGTGAGGGTGCACCTCATAGACTGCTAAGGCAGGGCTTGTAAATCCGAGACTGTAGTGCCAATCGCCTCTCTACAAGCCTGAGTGTACAATGTCCATATTGCTCAGGCTTGTGGAGAGACGTGAATATGGACTCTTCATTATGCAAATATTTTTTTGGAATTTATTCTGTCTTTCAATGAGTACAGCAGAGGGCTTACATGGCAGAGTGTGTCAATGCAGGGCTCATCCTCCTAGCATGGGCCCACCTTGTGCAGAGTCGATGCAGGGCTCATCCTCCTAGCATGGGCCCACCTTGTGCAGAGTCGATGCAGGGCTCATCCTCCATGTCACCAAGGCTTGTGGATATAGTTGATGTTAACTCTAAGTATCACAGTAATATCGAGATTTGATGTTGAGTACAGCAATGGGCCCACCTTGTGGGGAGTCGATGCAGGGCTCATCCTCCAGGACTGCGAGGATAGGAGCCATGTCACTGGGGATGTATTGCTATAGAGATTGGGCTGTTTTATAACGAGTTGTTGGCATGGAGGATGCCTGGCATGCATAGGGAATGCAGCAAAGGGTCTACCTTGTGAGGAGTCGATGCAGGGCTCGTCCTCCAGGACTGCGAGGATAGCCGCCATGTCACTTGGGCTGTTGGCGAGTAGTGGGACTTATGACAGTGCACACGTATCTACTCGGTGTGATGCAGTTGCGCTTTGCTACAGTAAGAGCCCACCTTGTGGAGAGTCGATGCAGGGCTCGTCCTCCAAGACTGCAAGGATGGCCGCCATGTCACTTGGGCTGTTGGCAAGAGCGAGGGTAGCAAGAAATGAGATGGGATGGTGTGGCATGGGATGACATGGAATGGCGTGGCAGGGGATGGTATAGCATAGGATGAAATGGCATGGCATGAGACGGCATGGCAGGGATGGAATAGCATAGGATGAAATGGCATGGCATGGCATGAAACGGCATCGGCATGGCAGGGGATGGTATAGCATAGGATGAAATGGCATGGCATGGCATGAGACGGCATGGCAGGGATGGTATAGCATAGGATGAAATGGCATGGCATGGCATGAGACGGCATGGCAGGGATGGTATAGCATAGGATGAAATGGCATGGCATGGCATGAGACGGCATGGCAGGGGATGGTATAGCATAGGATGAAATGGCATGGCATGGCATGAGACGGCATGGCAGGGATGGTATAGCATAGGATGAAATGGCATGGCATGGCATGAAACGGCATCGGCATGGCAGGGGATGGTATAGCATAGGATGAAATGGCATGGCATGGCATGAGACGGCATGGCAGGGATGGTATAGCATAGGATGAAATGGCATGGCATGGCATGAGACGGCATGGCAGGGATGGTATAGCATAGGATGAAATGGCATGGCATGGCATGAGACGGCATGACAGGGGATGGTATAGCATAGGATGAAATGGCATGGCATGGCATGAGACGGCATGGCAGGGGATGGTATAGCATAGGATGAAATGGCATGGCATGGCATGAGACGGCATGGCAGGGATGGTATAGCATAGGATGAAATGGCATGGCATGGCATGAGACGGCATGGCAGGGGATGGTATAGCATAGGATGAAATGGCATGGCATGGCATGAGACGGCATGGCAGGGATGGTATAGCATAGAATGAGATGGCATAGTGAGGCATGGGACGGCATGGCCAAGGATGGTATATAGCATGGGATGGCATGGCCAGGGATGGTATATAGCATGGGATGGCATGGTGTGGCATCAGGTGGCACAGCATGGCATTGGATGGGATGCCACAGGCTTGTTAGAACTGATATGAAATGGTGTGGGATGGCGTCGTGGGGTGTGGGATAGCGTGATGGGAAGTGGGATAGCGTGATGGGGTGTGGGATAGCGTGATGGGGTGTGGGATAGCGTGATGGTATGTGGGATAGCGTGATGGGGTGTGGGATAGCGTGATGGGGTGTGGGATAGCGTGATGGGGTGTGGGATAGCGTGATGGGGTGTGGGATAGCGTGACGGGGTGTGGGATAGCGTGATGGGGTGTGGGATAGCGTGACGGGGTGTGGGATAACGAGATGGGAAGTGTGGTAGATATCACAGTTGACTGCCCAGAGGGTGGCTTGGTTCGGATTGAGAAACAGGCAGCGGGAAGTTCGATACGTGGTTTAGAGAGTGAAGGGCGAAGTGGGAATTCGAAAAGGAGGAGAGGCAAGTGAGAGGAGTCGTCACGTGAGGGGCAAGCCAGTGATAATCTCCAAATGGTTTTGCAGTGAGAGGCAAGTCATGGACTAAACTATGTGTTGCCATGTCATGGACTGATGCAAGCACACAGCGACCATGTGTTGTCGTGCCTGAACTGTCGTGTCCAGACACACGTGCGGATTGAAGTTGGAAAATACGCCCAGACCCTTTTGCGCTTAGCATATACACGCTTGCATACGCTATATGCAGCGGATATGCAATAAACACTGCAGTGATGGCAGCAACCAGCAGTGCTGGTGATGGTGCGTACCTTCAAGCACACATGCGCCTTACCATGTGCTGTACATGATAGGGTCCCTCTAGGGTGGCTTACGATTTGTTGTTGTATGTGATGGGCAGCAGCAACCACCTGTACATGATGTGATGTGGATGCATGCTGCACATGTGGATGCATGCTGCACATGTGGATGCATGCTGCACATGTGGATGCATGCTGCACATGTGGATGCATGCTGCACATGTGGATGCATGCTGCACATGTGGATGCATGCTGCACATGTGGATGCATGCTGCACACGTGGATGCATGCTGCACACGTGGATGCATGCTGCACACGTGGATGCATGCCGCAGATGCGCCTTACCACGTGTTGTACGTGATAGCAGCAACCAGCTGTTGCTTCAGACCAAGCCTATGGGTGGGATACACAGGGGCCGACATAGGGAGGGCGAAGTGGGATGGGAATGGTCAATCATGCAGTCAGTCATGTGGTAAGGCGGGCAAGGAGGTTGTAAGGTGCGGGGGGGGGAGGTTCCAAGGAGAGTTGAGGGAAATTGTGCTGGAAAGGGAGGGAGATAGGAAGAGAGAAGAAGAAGGGCAAGAAAAATGGAGGGAGGCATGAAAAAGGAGATCGGCTTTGCTCAATAATTACAGTCCTACTGTAATCGGCATGAAAAAGGGAAATTTGACACTAGCATTAGCATGGATCGTGGAAGAGTTCATTCTTACTGTAACCCTATCGTCTTCTCTTCCCATAATCCCCATAATCCCCATGATCAACCGTCAGTATACTGGACCCAGCATTCATTCTAACATTGGATCCACAGTGATGTTTATGCAGTTTTTCTTCTGATGGATTCTGGTTAAGCTGGTTTTAAGCTTGTCGGGTTAATTTCAGTCCTTTCGCTCTAAAGCACAGGATGAAGGGTGACGCTCATAACGTAAGACTTGACTGAACGGGTAGATAACAGAACATTGAAGGCCACACCCACGCATTTGGAGTGCAAATTCAGATATATCCCAGCAGCATTCTGCAGATTGAAACAGGCTTTGCACTTCTGTAGCCTTCAAAAAAAAAATAGCAGGGAAAGAAAGCAAGATGGCAAAAGGATTCTGCTTACTCATTGCAGTACGAATCAGCAACCAATCGCAGCCCGCCACATGTCTCTGTCAGGCTGGCATGCAGCCCCTGTCGGCGGCTCCTCTCGTCCTCTGTGGGCCTTGGCTGTAGCGCCGCTACAACCCGGTCGGCATCCCTTGTCAGCTTCTGCAGCGCTGCTGCCACCTTGGCCATTTCCTTGCTGGAAATCATCCAATCAAATAGAAATGCGTGGCACGAGGAGGAAGACGAAGGATAAGGAGAGTGGAAGAATAAGCGGGAGACAGGGGACTCACGAAACAATAAACAGAGGTAGACTCAAGGAGGAGAAATGGGGGAGGGAGAGGGTGCAGTGTGGGGGAATGCGGAATGGGGAAACTGGGAGAGTTGGGGGAGTGGGTGGTGCAAGAGTTCTGAAGGACTAGGTGACTTTTGAGTCGACTCAAAAGGACTCCTGAACCGACTCAGAGTTCACCATGCAGCGATGGAGTAAACTTGTCGTGAACGCAGTGGAATTTCCACTAAAACTGTTGATTATCGGGTGGCAGCTCTGTGAGTGGATGTGCTGTTGTGAGTGGATGTAACTTCCCTCAACTTCGTTCTCACCACCCACAGAGTGTCTCAGCACCCACAGAGTGTCTCAGCACTCACAGAGTGTCTCAGCACTCACAGAGTGTCTCAGCACTCACAGAGTGTCTCAGCACTCACAGAGTGTCAGAAGCAGAGCGCAGAATCCGTTCCAAAGACTCCACTTGCCTCGCTGTCACCGCTGCTGCCACCCTCCTCGCATGCTCCTCCCCCTTGCCGCTAGTGCCACTGCTACTAACACCGCTGGTGATGGTGCTGTTGGTGGCATTGCTGTTGGTGCTGCTGCTGGTAGTGGCAGTGGTGGCAGTGGTGGCAGTGGTGGCGACGGTGGCAGTGGTTGCAAGTAGTGACGAAATAGGGGAAGGTGCAGAAGAGGCACCAGAGGCATCGAAGGGGGGCGGCATGAGCGGAGAGAGGTGCAGAAGTGGAGGAGGGGTGGACGAGGGATCCATAGGAGGAGACAGCTGCAACACTCCGTAGTTGGCTGGACTGAGAAGCACCTGCAATCCCAAGGGACGCGACAGGGACGGGAGGGAGGAGCCGGAGGAGAGTTTATGGGGTGCTGGAGAAGAGATGGAGGAGGGTTGCATGGAAGGAGCATAGCTACAAAGAAAAGAAGGGTTGCATGGGATGGACCAGCTGCGACATTCCGTATTCGGTTGGACTGAGAAGCACCTGAAACCCAAGGGAAGTGAAAGGGAGGAGAGGGAAGAGCGGGAGGAGAGGGAGGAGTGTTGCATAGGAGGAACCAGCTGCAACATCCGTAGTTGGCTGGATTAGAAAGCACCTGAAACCCAAGGGAAGTGAAAGGGAGGAGGGGGGGGGAGAGGGCGGAGAGGAAAGATATACGCAGAGCTGGAAGAAGGATGGAGGAGGAGGGTTGCATGGGAGGGGCCAGCTGCAACACTCCGTAGTTGGTTGGACTGAGAAGCACCTGCAATCAAGGGAAGTGAAAGAGAGGAGAGGGGAAAAAGGGAAAGGCAATGGTGTATGGGGAGAGCTGTAGAGGTGGAAAATATATGGAGGAGGGTTGCATGGAAGGCGCCAGCTGCAACACTCCGTAGTTGGTTGGACTGAGAAGCACAGGGAAGCCAAGGGAAGCGACAGGAGGAGACGAACAAGGGGTGGTCTGGATCCAGGGTATGTGGTAGGGTGAGGTAAGTCATGCGTGTGGAGCAGAGCAGAGGAAGCAGAGTAGCGGGAGCGGAGGGAGCAGAGCAGAGCGAGTATAGTAAACAATCAGGTGGGAAGAGAAGCGTGGGTACCAGCTGTATGAACAAACTGTGAAGCCGCTATGCATTTTAATGAAGTGGATTCTTGCGAGTTTGGAGCTTACAGGGAGTCTATCAAGGGTGACACCGGCGGAGGAGAGCAGGGCGAGTAGGTCCAACAGCAGCTGATTTTAAATTGGTTCTTAAGATTTACGCAAAATAACGGGTCAGCTTACAGGGAGTCTATCGAGGATGGCAGAGGCCGAGGAGAGCAGGGCGAGCAGGTCCGGAAGCAACTGCTGCGACCACCGGCGGGTGTGCGCCTCTGCTGCGCTCGAGACCTTATCCAACCCCTTCAACACGCGCTCCATCGTTGGCTCGAATACAATCACGGCTCCCTTACAGTCACGTCGCCTACAGTAACGCCTTCTACAGTCACGGCTCCTACTAGAGCGGCAGACCGCGTCGTCACACGCGCAGCTGCTGCGACCACCGGCGGGTGTGCGCCTGTGCTGCGACCGTCTGCTTATCCAATCCCTCCAACGCGCGGTCAAATGCTGGGTGAGATACAATCAAGATGAATTCAGTGAATAGACAGATAGCCTTGACTCGAATGTTAGCGGGTGTGCGCCTCTGCTGCGACCGTCTGCTTATCCAAACCCCTAGAATGCGCGGTCCATTGCAGGGTGGGACAAACAAGGCGGCTTTTGCACTCGCCGCCCCTACAATCTCGGCTCTCCGACAATCAGAGCTCCCCGACAATCACGCCACCTACAGTCACCTACTAGGGCGGTAGATGGCGACAACCGCAGCGGTGCGACCATCGGTGACTGTGCACCTCTGCAGCAATCGCCACCTTGTCTAAAGGTTGAAACATGCGCGGTCTATTGCTACTTTCTGGAGCACCACCCTTACAGTCACGGCTCGGCTAGTCAGCTCGTATAGTCACGGGTTGTAGTTACCCGTGACTTGGTACCAAGTTTCGTAGGTATTACACTTGGTTGGGTTCCCGAAATATGAGACGCGGGTTTTAAATCACATGGTTCTTGTCGACTCGCCCACGCTTCTTCGCGACCCAGGCCGACCAGATCGCTCTGTGACTGACCCTGCTAACCTGTGCGCGGCGCCGGCGCCAATCGATTTATACATCTCGACTACACGCCCATTACTGTGCGATGCACCCCAGCCCACAGCCAATGAGCCACCAACGAGCTGCGAACGAGCCAACAAAGGCGTGCTGTATTGCCATGAGAAACATCTTGTGTTGTTACTGGTGTGAGCCGAGCACAGATGGTGAAACTGTATTTGAGAATGTGTAGGTTCATTTGCATCTCATATATGCGAGGAGAATAACTGGTATGACCAGCTAATGTGACCACAGAATCATGCTAATGGTTGCTTTCCTCTCCATTACAAATCCTAATTTATAAGGTGTTGTGAAGGGATGCTTGCACGCAAACAGGCATTTTCTACATTGTTTTGTTGCGCTCAATGCTTTCGATGCTTCTCTGTATAATACGGATCCACTCAGCCACTCTACGTGCTGTAGTAGTCTTGAGATTTTGGTTGAGACTAGTATGTCGGAAGGAGAAATGGTAGAGGGAAAGGGTGATAAGGGGAAACCCACATCAAAGGAGAACGCATGGTTTGACTTCCTAAGACTGGTACAAGGAGAAAGGGTAGAGGGGAAGGTTGAGAAAGGGTTCAACACAAACACTTCATCAGCGTAAGGTGGGGAGAACCAAAGTATATGTGGGTTCCTGCATCAGAGAGATTCCCATTAATTCCGTATTTTGGATCGGTCACTACTCCCTTGGGAGTTCCGATGTCCCTACGGCATCATCACGTGCAGGAAAGTGGTGTGACAGACAGAGGCGGGCAACAATGCCCAGATGCGCAAAATGGATACAAGCCAAGACGTCAAGTTCATTCTAACGCAGACTCTTAGTATCTGAGAAATGAAAAACCTGCAGAAATTGTAAAACCTGCAGAAGTTCCTGCATCAGAGAGATTCCCATTAATTCCGTGTATTGGATCGGTCAGTGCTCTTCGTGAGAGCTCCGATGTCCCTACGGGATCATCACGCGCAGGAAGAAAACGAACTGAGAGCATCCGTCACGGATGCGCGAACAGAAAACTGAAACAACATGGGCTGGGAGTGGGGGGTGAAGGAATGAGAGGAAAACAATGCAATAACGGGTAACTATTTTGGCAGGATTCCAATGCAATGCGTGTCAGCTGATCGAAATAACAGCATAAGGGCCAGCTGAAAGCAAGCACTTCTGGTCTTCCTATCATAATCTTTGTTGATCGTCACTCACGCAAGCGGAATCCCTTCACTATGCACTGAAACGAAAAGGCAAGCATGCCTGTGCGTTAAGTTTCATACACAAATCAAGCAGACGTCGAAACACGGCACACCTTAGAAAGTCAAGAGGGACGCTGGAGAACTGGCAACTACAGGCTGTAAACGAGAGCTTTCTACGAGTATTCGAGGCACTAGCTCTTTGATCTGTTGGAAAAGAAACGGCTGGAAGGAGGTCCATTTCGGAAGAGTGAGGGAGAAGCTCGGAGGAGCAAGTGTGGCCTTGGGGGTGAATCCCTCGAGAACCCGAAACCCGTGGCAAAAACGGGCATCGCGTTATCCATGTTCTGTAATAATTTAGGGCCTGGAAGTTTTGCAGAACCGAACACTTTAAATAAGGTGAGTGAATAAGAATCTGATCATCATGACGAGATTCGTGGGAAGCTCCAAATGTACCTGATTCAAGTATTGTTGCCAGAAGGCAAATCTTGCTGCAAAAATCACCCACATACAATGAATCTCGAAACCAGTGGTTATTTATGGTATTTCGAAGTCCCTACATGGTACAAATAACTTTAAGGGGCTGAATATTCATAAGATACACAAGACAACCATATCCTTATGTTACAAGATAGCCATACATTTTTCAGAGCAGTATAAGAAAGACACATGCTACGGTATGTCTACTGGTATCTGGGCGGTGACAGTATCCTCCCACCCACCCACACACTCACCCACCCCCACCCACCCATTCCCCCACCCTCCCGCACATGCATGTAGCCGTCCAACCATCTGTATTTACTCAGCATCAGTGAGCAGCACAACGCGGCAGCAGGCCTTTTTAGTGTCCACTTCGTCCATCCAAATATCCACCCACCCATCTGTATCTACTCAGCATCAGTGAGCAGCACAACACGGTAGCGGACCTTGTTGGACAAAACTTCGTCCATTGCCTCGTTCAGCTGCGACAGCGGGCGTGTCTGTAAGGAACAGAGAGTGGTAATAGGTGGTAAAGGGAGGTGCCAGGGTGGTAAAGGAAATAGAGAGAGGATGATTGAATGGTGGCCTCCACTTCAGCCATCGCCTCGTTGAGCTGTGATACATGATTGGCAAGTGGGAGGTAGGAGATAGATGGGTGGTGACGGGGAGGTGACAGGTTGATTGCATGTTGGCTTCATCTTATCACAAACAGCACTATCACCCATCACCACTCTCAGACTCACTCACCAGTCACAGTCATAATAACACTCATTCGCTCACCAGTCACATTCACACTCACTAAACAAAGTTATGCTCACAATTGCTCACTGGTCACTAACCACATTCACACTCACACTCACTCACCACATTCACGGGCTAGTTTTTTGGCAAAAGTCAAACATCTCTAGCACGAACGGTAATCAGGAGGTGAGGGGAGACTGCTGGGTGATAAGCAGGTGTTCATGGGTAAATCAGAGTGTATTCTCCCCCCCACCCTCACCACAGTCACACGCACTCACTCACACTCACTCACCACAGTCACGGGCTTGATGCTGTTTGCAGCGCAGAAGTCAAACATTTCTTTCAGCAGCATCCGCCCGCCCACCACCGACCCCGCAAGTTTTTTCTGCCCGAAAATCAGATCCAGCAGGCCCACCTGCCCGACAGCATCAGGTGGAATCCCGGCCAGGACGAGCCTGGGAAGGGGGAGAAGGGGACAGGGGAAAAGGAGGGGAGGGGGGTGGAAATGGGACAGGGAGGACAGGCTAAAAGTATAATTTGATTCCAACAAGTCGACCTGCCTGACAGCACCAGGTAAATTCCCAAACAGCACGAGACTGAGATGGGGAAGGTGGTGGGAAGGGAGACGGAGGAATCGGCGGAGGGAAAGGAAGGCAGGGAAAAGGCGGATGAGGAAAGTAAGATTCAACAAGCTCACCTGCCTGACAGCGTCAGGTGGAATCCTAAGCAGCACGAGGTTGAAAAGGGGGGACGTAGGGGGAGTGGGGGAGGGGTGGGAGGGGAGAGGACAGGGGAGGGAGGTGGGGGACAGGGGAATGGGGACAGAGGATAGGGAAGATGAGGACAAGGAAGAAGAATTACACATATCAACGTTATGGTGTCTGTCTGGGTTGAGAACTCAGACGGAACATCACTCGTGCCGACAGTCCTCAGTAGGCTCATGAAGTTCCTGTAACCTGTTGGGAGGCAGCACAGGCGCGCAGTTGACCAGCACGTCCACATGCACATGCTTCACAGAGTCACAGAGTCATGGAGGGCTTCACAGAGTCATAGAGTACTCACGTGCCGTCTGGATTCAGGAGGCTCATGAAGTTGCGGTAATCTCCATTGGGCGGCAAGACGGGCGCACAATTTACCAGCACATCCACGTGGGCAGACTTGGGCGCCTCGGGGTGCCCCCCCCCCTTACCCCAACCCTACACCTGCCCCACCCCTAGCCCTGCCGCGACTCACGTGCCGTCGGGGTTGAGCAGGCTCATGAAGTTCCTGTAGTCGCCTTGAGGAGGCAAGACGGGAGCGCAGTTGACCAGGACGTCCACGTGGGCAGACTTGGGCACCTCGGGGTGGCCTCCCCCAGGTGCAGCATTTGCGTCATACACCACAAACTGCTGTGCACCCATGCTCTTGGCCTCCTCCTCCTTGCTGGGAGTGGTGGAGAAGGCAGTGACATGGGCCCCCATGGCGCGGGCGATTTGCAGTGCGAGGTGGCCCAGGCCGCCGATGCCGATTACCCCGACTTTCATGCCGGGACGAGTGATGTGCGCGCGGAGAGGGCTGTAGACCGTGATGCCTGTGGCAGTTGCAAGGGGAGACAGGGGGAAAGGCATGGAAAAAGGGGAACAGCGGGTGAGAGAGGGAGCGGGGCGGCATCCGAAATCGAGCCCTATCAGGGAGCTTAATGGCCAAGTCAACGGGGGCGCGCAGGCGCGGCTGGAAACATAGGGTAACACACGAGCGGCGAGCTTACCAGCGCACATGAGGGGAGCGGCGTCTATGGAATCCAGCCCCTCGGGGAGTTTAATGGCTAAGTCAGCGGGGGCGCAACAGGGGCAAATGAATGCATGCAAGCGAGCGAGCAGTAACACGCGCACTCACCAGCGCACATGAGGGGAGCGGCGTCCACCGAATCCAACCCCTCGGGCAGCTTGATGGCGAAGTCAGCGGGGGCGCGCAGGCGCGGCTGGAAGCCGCCCTTGTTGCCGTTCAGGATAAGACCTGTGTAGCCCTCCGCACACAGGTTCTCCTCCCCGCGCACGCATGACAAGCATGAGCGGCACGAGTTGCGCAGCCAGCCATAAGCCACGCGGTCGCCCTGTGACAGGGGGATGGATGGGTTAGAATGGGTGCAACGGGAAGCCGCCCTTGTTGCCGTTCAGGATGAGCCCCGTGTACCCCTCCGCGCACACAGGAGTGGCAGGAGCGGCTCGAGTCGCGTGGGGATGGGCAGAGGAGGATGAGAGGATGAGCCCGTGTAGCCCTCCGCGCACAGGTTCTCCTCCCCGCGCACGCACGACAGGCAGAAATCGCGCAGCCAACTTGGTGCGGATGGGTGGGATGGGTAGAGAAGGATGGGTGCGGATGGGTGAAACGGAGCCAACGCGACGCGGTCGCCCTGCATTTGCGCGGGGAGACCGCGATTGGGCTTTAGCAGGGGGAGGATGAGCTCCGCGCGTCTCTCCCCTCCGCGCGCGGGAATTCTCCACACCCCGCATTCATCCCTCCGAGCACAAGCACTCCCTTCCGCGCCGAACAGGCTCTTCCACCGGCGCTCACACAAGTCCCTCAGCGCGCGGCAGGCTCAGAAACCACTCCAATTCGGAATAATTTTAGACTCTGAGTCACGTACCACTCTGTCGCTATTGCGTCGACGACTCGTTGAAATTCAAGAATCTTGTTCAATTTCATCCGTCTCCTCAGTTAGAGTGAAGCGAGCGAATGAGAGATCATTACTTACGACTTTGTGCGTGGTGACGTTGGCGCCGACCTGCTCCACTATGCCCACCACCTCGTGGCCTGCTACTAACGGGTACGTCGCGTTGTTCCAGTCGTTGTCGCGCATGTGCAGGTCCGTGTGGCACCTGTGCGAAACAGTCGACGGATGGCGTTAACGGGACAAACTTTAAAACGGGTACGGAGCGACGACTTCGAGAAACCACCACAGATCTGACAGATAGAACCGAAAGCATCGAGGACAGCACACTCGTCGCGACTGATTGAGCGACTCACAGGCCGTTACGAGCGACTCACAGGCCGTTACGAGCGACTCACAGGCCGTTACGAGCGACTCACAGGCCGTTACGAGCGACTCACAGGCCGTTATGCGTGACTTTAATCTGCACGTCGTTGGGTCCCAGCGGGGCCGGCTCGTAGTGAAACGGCTCGAACTTCTGCTTGGGGCCCAGACACGCGTACGCGAAGAACTTGCCGTCCGCAGCCATGACGAACGTTACAAATATTGTTTCCGCAACGGAAAAAAAAAGTGGATATTTCTCCAGCAACGAAACTGTGGAAATGGAGAAGGGTTACGAGGTACGGAGAAAGTCCGCTGGGGATTAGGAGACCTAGACCTGACACTCGGAGTGTGAGAGTGAGATAGTCTGTCAGCGAAGTCGCTGGGTACGATCTATGCTATTTTCTTGCTCGGAGGTTGCTTTCTATCTGAATCGTAGAAATGCCAAGACCGGCACGGACGAACCCAATGCTACTTGATCTGGTTCTTGTATCCAAGCCCGCTAGCTCGCTGATGGTTTCTTGGGCCAGAAAAAAATACCGAGAAACGCGGCGCAAACATGTCAGCAACAGCAACGGTTCGATGCTGCCGACACATTTCCGTAACTCCAGCTGAGAAAAGTGGTTTTTGTGATTGGTGACTTTCAGTGAGCTCTTCCTCGCTCAAAACCTTAAAGCTGCGGTCTACATACCTCAAGCGGGAGGCAAAGGTTTATCACTTGAGAACATATCTGGTTTATCACTGTCCCCAAAAGTACCCCTTTGGGTAACACTGCACCTGCTGCTCTAAAACGCAGAGCACCGCATTCAAACAAAGCTCTTGGAATGGTGCCCCTTAGGAATTGGGAGGGGGGGGGGCGGGCGCTTGGCGGGCGCTGCCTGCTGAAAACTAGCTGGTTGGCCCGTGCCGCCAATTCCCAGTGTCAATCCACTCCATCTGGGGCTGCTCGGATTTCGGCGAGTCGCGAATTTCTTGCCAAAGCTGCACGAGACACGAGATTGCAGACGGACAACGCATTTCCTAAAAGTGGATTCGTTGGAACGACCCTTTCCAGCAATTAGTTACAGACGCTGCTCAAGTGGGTAAAACGAGCTGTGGAAAGCAACCGCTCACTAAACTCAAGCGTTAGGACGCCGGAAGGTGGCGCAAAAGAGTCGAGCGTTAAGTGCGAGTGTGAACCACGGACGTGAGCAACCAGGTCGGTAAGAGCGGTGTACCAAAACCAGAATCCAGACGTCGCTCGGGGTCACCACGCGGATCTTGTTTTCACAAAAGTTGGTTGCCAATTCGCCAAATCCGATTCCTCTGTCCACGTGCCCTACATGTCGTGTCATGATATTCGAATGCCAGCAAGTGCGTGATCCCAAGGCGCTGCCCACATGGCGTGCCACTTGGGACATGAAAACATGAGCTCATCCAAGCTGGAAAGCTGATGTGGAGTGCAACAGCTCACTATCGGAGCCAGTTACGACTGCGGATGTTCTTCTGTTTTCATTAATATATCTACATCCACCAAAAAAAAAAAAAACTCACTATCGGAGCAACCAATAAAAACATTAGCAGAATGAACTAAGCACTATAGAATATGTTATACGTAAATATAATGGGTTTTTTGGGTTACAGGATAATGCACTTTAATGCACCAGGAAACCATGAGATGTAAATATTTCAGCTTTCAAAATCTGCGTTCAGCTTTCAAAATCATTTGTTAAAGCTAACAAAATATGTGTGGTTTGCTTCTTATGGGGTAGAACTATGCGTAATTTTCGTTGCGACGCAGGAACTATGGCAAAAGCATTCCTGAAGTAACCAAGTTCCAACACGAAGCTAGCTAAAACAAGGTCGAAGATCGAGCGTCGAAAACAATACCTATTCGAACATGGCCGTTCGAACGCCCGAGGCGACGCGCCTGTCAGTCACGTAACCTCTGCTGTTAGAGGGTACTAAAGAAAAACAATCCAGGCCGCGCCGACGCCGCTTAAATGGCGTCGCCAAAGCCAATCACGATGCAGCTGCGAGCATGGCTTGCACTCTCCGCCGCGCTTTGGCTTGCTGCCTTCGTCTCTCCGTGCCATGCGCAAGCGGCGGTGATCAACGCAACTCAAGGTACCTCCATCCCTCCTCGAACCTGCTTCACCGCCGGTGCAATCAATATCTGACTCATTTCTTCTTACTAGTTAGTTGCATGCTAGTTAGTGGGCAAGGACATGTAGTAGGCGCTCATGTGGTTGGTCTGCCTCTCTCTATATGCACTGCATTGCTTTCGAGGGGGACAGTACAGGTAATAATATCGCGGAAACCCCTGTTCGGCGACGAGGTAGTAACAGCGACCATTCTCAACCTCCCGCTTCGTCCCTCGTTTGCAACCTAGTAACGGCACTGTAATAGTACTGCTAGCAATCAGCACGCGGTTTGCACTGCCACAGCGACTGACTACTATCGACTGTGGTCCCTCGATCGCTTTCCATCTCAAAGCTGCACGGCACTTGCACTGACGCACGTGTGTGTCCTACACATATGACGATTCCGGCGTGCGAGTCGAGTTTTGGTGCTGGTCGTTTGAGCGCGGGTTGGGAAGGGTCACCACAAGAGCGGCATGATTGGGTATCAATTTTGAGTCTTCTCTCAAATATAGTGCTGGAGCCGGTCTTTTGGGGCAGGCCAGTGACGTGTGCGGTTCAGAGGTATGGGGCAGGCAGGCCAGTGACGTGTGCGGTTCAGAGGTATAGGGCAGGCAGGCCAGTGACGTGTGCGGTTCAGAGGTATGGGGCAGGCAGGCCAGTGACGTGTGCGGTTCAGAGGTATGGGGCAGGCAGGCCAGTGACGTGTGCGGTTCAGAGGTATGGGGCAGGCAGGCGAGCGACCGGTGCGGTTCAGAGGTATGGGGCAGGCAGGCCAGTGACGTGTGCGGTTCAGAGGTATGGGGCAGGCAGGCCAGTGACGTGTGCGGTTCAGAGGTATGGGGCAGGCAGGCGAGCGACCGGTGCGGTTCAGAGGTATGGGGCAGACAGGCCAGTGACGTGTGCGGTTCAGAGGTATGGGGCAGGCAGGCCAGTGACGTGTGCCATTCACACGCGCCAGTCGCTGGGGCAGGGCTGTGCTGGTGATGACGTGCTGTTGCCCCCAAAAGAGAGGATGTCGGCGACCGCTGGGTGGAACCGTGGAGGCATGGGAGAGTGTTTGGAGGAGGTTTGAATGCGGCAATGAGGCAATGACCGAGGCGAGGTAGGCATACGAGCCTGCGGTTGCCAAGGCTGTGATGGTCGCTGCCAGGCGAGTCCGCTGATGATCGCTGGGCGTGCTGCTTGGTTCCATGTGCATGGCCATGGAAGCACAATGTTCAATGTTCTGCCTAATGCTGCTCGGCGCTGCTCTGCCTGCTGCTCCCCGGGAAGCAAAATGTTTGCTGCTGCTTCCAGGTTCGTGTGGAAGTGTGCGCTCCCCAGGCTGTCCATTGGTCGGGTGCCAGGGTTGTATAGTAGGGGTGATGCATGCTTTGAACGAGCTCCGGCTTACACAGCGGCTGGTGAGTAAGAGGCATAGCTGGGGGTCCATTTCAGCGGCTGGTGAGTAAGAGGCATAGCTGGGGGTCCATTTCAGCGGCTGGTGAGTAAGAGGCATAGCTGGGGGTCCATTTCAGCGGCTGGTGAGTAAGAGGCATAGCTGGGGGTCCATTTCAGCGGCTGGTGAGTAAGAGGCATAGCTGGGGGTCCATTTCAGCGGCTGGTGAGTAAGAGGCATAGCTGGGGGTCCATTTCAGCGGCTGGTGAGTACGAGGCATAGCTGGGGGTCCATTTCAGCGGCTGGTGAGTAAGAGGCATAGCTGGGGGTCCATTTCAGCGGCTGGTGAGTAAGAGGCATAGCTGGGGGTCCATTTCAGCGAGCTCTGGAAGCGGCTCCGCTGCTGCACCCTGTCTGCGGCGCCCAACCGTTCGTGAAGAGAGAGCAGCTGCACAGTCGTGGGTCCATTTTGGCGAGCATCGGATGCTCGGGCGTGCGTCGGATGCATTGGGACCAGGCCACCGCGCACGTGGGTTCCATTGGGTCCCCCTGGCCTAGGGATTTGCGTCGAAATCTGTCCAAGGCGCCGAGGGCCTCACGCTGCGGCATCACCCATGTGATGAAGAGAAGACAACGGTCGGGCGGGCGTCGGATGCTCGCTGCAAAGAGCAGCGGTCCCACGGGTTCCCATTGGGCCCCCCTGCCGCACCCCGTGCGCGCTCAGTTGGTGCAAATCCGAATGCGTGGTCGAGGAGTAGTCTTGAGGGCGTGCCGTAGGTGACTCGCGTGAAGGGGAGGAGGAATGCCAGCAGGGTGTTGCGGAGGCCCGTCCCCCTGCCGCACCCCGGTTGGTGCAGCTGCGAATGCGTGGTCGAGGAATAGTCGGGACGGGAGGAATGGCGTAGGTGACTCGCATGAAGGGGAGGAGGAATGCCAGCAGGGTGTGTCGGGGTCGCTCAAGGAGGCCATTGAATTTCGCCGCTGTTGCATTCGCGGTGACTCCACCCCGACGTTGAAAGCATTTGCGCTGCAGTGCCGCCACCCCAGCTGCTCTTCCAGGTGTGTGCCGCCACCCCAGCTGCTCTTCCAGGTATGTGCATCAGGTGGTGTGAATGGCAGCGGCTTCAACTCAACTCTGTGAGTTGGATTTGAGTGGAGGCGTTAAAAACAAGGCCGGCCTGTGCGATTGGATTTGGGATGATCCTGTGCAGGCACTCCCCGACTGTTATAGGGCGCGTGCCTCCAGAGGGCTTCGTGAAGGCGATGAGGCAGGAGGCGGTCTGAGCTGCATGTTGCATCTGAGCCGAGCCTTGCAGGCAGCGTCGTGTTGACTAGCGCATGGGTCCAAGTGTTGGCACAAGTCGCTGCTCCCAATTGCTGCACTTTTGAGGCGTCGCAAAAGTAATTCTAACCAGCGCCGTGTTGACTAGCGAATGGATCCAAGTGTTGGCAGATTTCGACTCAAAAGGTCGCCGCATCTTGAGCGCCGCCTCAGAGGGTCCGGCCCGCACACCGTTGGGACACTTGACCTGTGAGAAATGGTGACCCACTCTGGGGTGGCCTGCTCTGCTGGGCCGCTGGGTGTCTGGCCTGCAGAGCAGCCAGTGTTTCAGAAGATGGCGGGGAAATGGGTGTGGCTGGACGGACTGCAGTAGCTTGCCCATGCCTTTTGAGGCGCCTCATAAGACGTGGCCTGAAGGGGCTGCA